AAAAGAAAAGAAAAGAAAAAAAAGCATTAACCGGGGTCTAAGTAACAGTTTAAACTGTAATTTAAAACGGCAGTAATTTAAGAATTGGCCAAACTGTACTTGATAGATCTCCACGGCCTGTACTCACACACATGCATGTGAAATTATAGTAAATCAAATAGAGAAGTTATTTTTTTCACGAAAGAATTACTCGCTTAATGTTTAACCTCACCTTTTTTCTTTCCGGAGGTATAACACGCGAAGGCAAGTACGGGCGAGAAGCAAACGCGTTCCGGAAATCTAGCGCTCGTAGAAGTTGCTCCTGTTGAAGTGCAGAGAAAACAAACCCGATTATGATTTTTTACATGAAGTGATAAAAATTTATGCTGGTGTCATACGTTTTGTGGAGCTGAGGCTATGAAACCCGCTCCGTTTTTTACAGAGAGAAACAAGAACTCCTGTTGGACCGTGATCCCCGGGCCGCCCCGTTGCCGAGCAAGGAGGTAACTCTGGCACTGCCCAAGGGATGCTCCCAGGGACAAGGGACAGCGCTCCCGTCCCCAAAGGCACTGCCCACCGCATACCTGGTAGGCACTGACGGCAAAGGCGACCCGCTGGCGGGTGGTCTCCGCCGGCTGGAGCGGGTGGGCGGCGGCGGGGAGCGCCGCTTCGTACAGATACTCGGAGCCGCAAGGAGACAGCAGCAGGCGGGACCCCCCCGCGTAGTGCACCTCCACCGAGTCGTCCTCGAACAGCACCATCAGCCTTTCCGCCTCCATCGCACCGGAACCAAGCCAGAAGAGCGAGCGCCCCTCGGACCGAGGCGACCGCGCCGCCGCACGGCGGGAACCGGGGTCGGGGCGACTGCCTCAACTCCCGCCGAGCTCCGCGGGACCTACGCCCCAACTCCCGCCGAGCTCCGCCAGAGCCACGCCCCAACTCCCGCCCGAGCCACGCCTCAACTCCCGCCCCAACTCCCGCCGAGCTCCGCCCGAGCCACGCCCCAACTCCCGCCGGAGCCACGCCCCAACTCCCGCCCGAGCCACGCCCCAACTCCCGCCGGAGCCACGCCCCAACTCCCGCCCCAACTCCCGCCGGAGCCACGCCCCAACTCCCGCCCGAGCCACGCCCCAACTCCCGCCGAGCTCCGCCTGAGCTCCCGCCTCACTCCCCCCGAGCTTCTCAGGACCTGCTGCTGACCGGTTCTCCTGCTGAGCTCCTCCTCAGCTCCATACGTCAGTTAGGTAACTGTGCCTTCCTGCTTTCTCACAGAAGATGAGTGCTTTTCATACACACATCTGTAAAATAAGCTTGAGAGAATTGCACACGGTGTCCTTGTACTTGTTTTCTTAATAAATTTTTATTTGCTGAAAGCGGGGGGGGTGAGCCAACACACAGCTCTGTACCTATAACTGGGCAGTAGAAGTCCTATCTGAACAGAAAGACCAAGATGTCAAAGGACAATTTTAACATGCTGCCTAGTTGCCTTTTTTTGACTATTATATACACCTTCCACCAATACATATAGTTTAATAAAAGCTGTTTTAAGTGGCTTGGCAGTTCACAGCTAAGTGACAGTTATTATCAACTGCCCGGCGTTAGCATATGCAGCTGAATATCCCCACTCGTCCATGTGGTCTCTCTTAGCTTCCTTACCTGCTTAGGAAAGTACAGGTTTCACAGATAAGTGCAATAATCGACTGACTACATTCAGTACAACTTCCCATTCTTGACAGTTGTTGTCTTGGCAGAGAGTAGATCAACACCCAGTCAAGTGGCTGCTGACACAGCCATGCATCAAAATAACCTGATTCTATTCACAATACCTTTTTTTAATGAGTATTAGTCTGTTCAGTAGTTGTCTGAAGCAAGTTTCAAAGTATATATTGGGATTATGAATGAGTTATGAATATTATTATTTATGGATGATACATTGCATTTTGATCACAATCTTGCTGCTCTG